ACTTCATACATGGGTTTCACCAATCAATGAAAGAGCCAATATTTCGGAAATTTTCTATTCTCATGTATGGGAAAATGTCCAAAAATCAATCACCTTAATTCGAAATGATCAATCTCTTTCCAATATTGAAAAAGATCAAATTCTAAACAATATTTTAATTGTAGGTGGATTCTCAGCATTAACAGGATTTAGAGAAAGAATGAAGAAGGACATTTTAGAATATCTTGGACAAGAATACTCTCCATCATTTAATTTTAGAGAACAGAAGGCTGATTATTCTGTCAGAAAAACAGGTATCAAGGTCAGCATTGTTGGACAAGATATGGACGTAGTTGGAGGAGCTAGAATTGTTTCCAATCTCTCAAACTTTAGAGAAATTTGTAGTTACAATCAAGCATATAACAAGTATTAATTTTCCAGACAAATTGACATTCCATTGAATTCTTTCGAAATTTGGCCGATTTATTTTGAATATTTACATTTTACTTTACAATTTTAATATATCATCAATTGTTGGCCACTCAAACTTCGAACTTTCTCCTGGTAGTTTTGGGCCTTTCCACAAACCCTGACTTCCATAAACATTTGTTGTAAATATGATACTTTCACATGGTTTAACCTTCCTGAAATCGACTATTTCAAAACTTGGATTTTGTTGCTCACTGATCAAAACTATGTTATATTTGCAAGCATCTTGTAACTCCAAAAAAGTTCCTTTAATTTCAAAATAAATTTTGTAGGGAGGGTTGGGAGGGATAATATGTGTTGCATAATATGCTGTTCCTTTTTTTGGAAAAGTAATATGTGAGCATCCAATACGTAAAAATCCCCCGGTGAATGGTTTTACATATAGCCCCATTTCAAAACTATTCTCCAAACACCTTTCAGAAGAATTGTTCTTAAACTTGAAATTGTTCTTAACTGCAATCAATTTTGGCTCTGGGATTACTTGATCGTTATTCGTATGTTGAAAGTTGTTTACACAAGATGCCATTGGCATTTGATTTTGAATTTGTGAGATGTTTTGAACTGAATTTTCATATGGTTGTTGAATCAACGTTGGTTGATGAGTGGATTTTTGAGGCTCTGTTTCAAAGGCACATATAATGTTACAGAAATGAGTGTTCGTATTTCCTTGCAAGGTTGAGAGTGGGTGAATTTCAACCTCATCTTGAGAGAGGTTAGTTGAGAGTGGTGAGAATATCAAGGGACTTGAGGCAGTGTTATTGGATGTAACTTTGTGAGTAGTAGTATTATTGGTGAGCTCAACAAGATCTTCATAAGTAAGGAAACAATCATCGTTATCATTAATTTCATGAGTGTCAGCTTGTTGGTATTTCATATCTTGATTCAACATTTTCAGTGTTTCTTTTTTAATTTTTGTGGGTATTCATACAAGGTGCAACTGAGTTTTTATACTCACATTCTCTTATTTTAGATTTTCATTACAACTCACAATTATTTTTAATTTTAGTAATGGATGATTGTTAGGTACTTGGCCACGCTCACGTTTATTTTTAATTTTCAAGCATAATCAAAGTCCTTGGACAAGAATCGAACACGTGGTTTCTTTCCTGACAATCTACAGTGT